TTCTTTTATARCTTTCTAGTATAAAATCTGTTCATAAGAACCGACAGTAATCTGCCAGTTTTATATATAAGAATATCGATTTACGGCTAGATTTAACAGACTATATATATACTCTTCTACATCTTATGGCGCTAGCAGATTAAATTCGCAAAAACACGTGGCGATGATGTTTTTTAGACGTGCAGGCAAATTCGTCATATTGCTGCTTGCTTTATAAGCGTTTCTAAACAGATTGCAGGAAACATTTTGTTTGTTTATTTTTATTTTTTGRAAAAGTTCCATATAACACTAGGCATGACTTAGAAAACATAAGTTCACTTCAATGCTCACATTATTTTGTTAATTAAATTTATTACTCGTTGATTGTTTGAGAACTGTGAAGAATGCTAAAATATACAGGTACTGAGGTGATAATATATAAGTCAGTAATGCCAACAATACGTACGGGTATTTAAAATCGAAACTGCCTGAATTGCCTATTCCAAAATGAAATTATAATAGAGCAAATCGAGTCGACCAAAAATAAATATACATAAAATATAATATGCGAAAAAGGAAGTAGGATAAAAAATGTTTTTTGTTAGAATTTTTGAACCTAAAATTTATTAAAATATAACTTTTTTTTAACTTTTTCAATACTAGGTATTTTAAAGGGATGTATAGATTTCTGCCATCATGGGATGATCTAATCAGTTTTCATAATTTTCTTCCAATATTGATGGACCGCTCATCTTGTTCTTCACTATAATTTTCTAAATTATCTAAAAATTAGTGCAGATAATTGTGACGATATTGTAACTTGATACTTCTATTTACTCTTCGAGTCTGAAAGTTTGTGGGCATATTTTTCACAATTCATTCATAGTTTACATGTTTTATGGTTATTTTGAAAGTTTTCAACGTCGGCTGTTTCCAAACTTCAATTTCCGGAAGAGTCACAATCTTGGCCTTTCATTAATTACCCTATTCGAGGATCATCCAAAATTCTTATTTTTTGTACTAGGCTTGGGCAAACTGCAACAAATGAAGTTAAAACAACATAATTGCCCGTCCTAAACTTAGAAAACTTGCTTAATCATTACTGACTTCATCTGATATTAAATCACCAATTTTGCAAATATTTTTGCGGAAGGCAAGGGGAGTATTTCATTGGGTAAAAAGGGATATTTTGTAGAGCATAAGTCTATATTGCACCATGTTTGATTTTACTAAAACCTTCCACATAATATTTGGCATATTTCTGGTAAGGAGCCTGAGAGCGTTATTTGTTTGCAATAAGCTTGATTGGTCGCACAAAAGTTACCGAAAATCAAMAGTTATAGCGAATTTCATATTATAAGAACTTTCCAGGCTGATTGGTATTCTTACACACGTACACACATTTATGGAAGTTTGGAAAAGGTTCAAACGTATTCCTTGCTTCCTAAAAATTCTAAAAGAATACCTATATAAATGATCAAGATGACAAGACGAATTGAAGGCACGAAGTCTTGATAAAATTTAGAGCGTRTGATTTTCTTATAACACTGTATATTTGTGCTCRGAATGAATAAAATCKGGAAAAAACTCTCCCTAGACCCCATAKAAYTTRGRACCCTWATGTACTTGAAGGCACTTCCATGGCCTTAATTCTTGCAAGCTGCAAGAGYAAAAAATGTTCGGTTTTATCCGAAATTAGCTCTTTCTTACTTGTTGTTGTTTAGGTTCAGACCCCACAACACTTTGGTTGTCAGTTGCGCCATCAACCTAATCGTCTACTTTGTAAACCGAATATGTACAATTAGACTTCAAATATGAATGGTAGAAGCTCCTTGAATTAAAATGCTTTCAGCGTCACTGAGCATTGCGAATTTTAAAACCATTTTTCATCACTTCCCTTCACTTCGTAAAGCGATTCTGTACACACCGATCCGTTGAAGTAATTGCACAATGTAAATGAATAACTAAAAGAGACTAGCAACAAAAACAAAAATACACACACAAATTGATGGTTGTGGTGGTTAGCTTGCCATTTGTCACAAGAATTGCAGTCACGTTCCGCAACAGCAGCATTTGCAGTACACAACAGTTACTCACAACCACCGCCCCCACAATGCAGCATTTTAGAGGTCTAGTTACGTAGCACAGTCAGATCCTCGCCCCGGTCGAGGTTGGCCAAAGTTAGTTGCGTTGCAAAATGCTTCTGCCAACTGTRAATTTCCATTCCTCCATTTCTTCGTCTAATGACATCATTTTGCACTGTTGTGCAGCCCATTAAGTGCGTCATTTAACAGTTATATTTACATCTACCCCTTTTTGTTGCATTACCGACGTAATTACTTGTATTCACAAATACAAAAGTGAAYCTCCATTTGTATGTATTTGCACGCCGACTTGGCTGTGTCAATATTTGAATTGGAAAAGTCGGTTTTCTTTCGAATAGAGACAAATGAGCACTTTCGGAGAAGACCGCTTACATTTTGACGGAGTGAAATATTTGGAGTTTCTAAACGAAGCTATAAAAAAGCTGGAAGCTAAAAAAATAGAGTAGACAGAGTTGCAAATTGCGAACTTTCCATATTTGCTCAAATGTTTTTCAAACAGGGAAACTTGAGTGAATATGTTTTAGCAAGAGGAAACGCCAACTTCGACTGCATCGAAGCTATTAAATCCTTCACAAAAACAAAAATATTCCATACCAAAACGTGAGCTTGATCCTTCAGTTTGTATGACAAGGACAATACCATAATGGTCCTGTATCGACGAATCTGATAAATTATCACCTTCTTGGGGAGAAAAAGGTGTGCAGATCGATGTCTTATAAACCGAAGGTTTGCTTATGTACAGATTGACAGGCGGATATGTTGATGTTTTTTATACTCGTATAAATATATTTTATWTGTTCTCCTACGTTCCTTTCCATGTCYATGAACAAAATTCGTGGCTAGCTTAATATACTATGTTTAGGGTATAAACGAAATACTAWTGTTTTATGAACTRATTGCGAAGGTTTCATTTATTCAGATATTAATACTATAGAACGATGTAAACTTGAGTTAACCTAAAAAACGGTGGACAAACCCTAAAACTAGGTCGTTTAAATAGTACCGTGTAAATAAACATCATGGTAATATCATGACGTCGTTGAAGATTTTCAATTTGACTTCGAATTTAACTTGTACACAGTTTTTGGTATATATAGTATATATACTAATATATTCTCTTCCAGGTCATCAATCGACTGGAGCTTATCTCCGTAGACAGGCGATTTCATAAAATGCCCAACGGTGTTAAACGATATTGGCGAGCACGCCACTGGCCCTTGACRCGAGRTAGTTAACGCRCTCACCAAAAGTTTCCTTCAAGAGATAAATTGTTTCGTGGGCTTTATGGCATGTAGTGCTAGATATTAATCATGGCCCTACAGGGTTGCTCAMTRACTSTAACATTATGGCTGGCTTCACAGAGCCACACCTAACGGTGACTTTTTTGGGATGTAATGGCTGCAGTTGGATTTTTAAAGTAATCCAAGGTCCTTCCGCAAAACGTTCCATACTGTGAGTGGACACAACTCTCACAACTCGGTGATCCATTTATCACTTGTTTTACATGAAATGTGAGTAACTTTGAGGTTTTTATAGTCCACGTGGAGATATTTTWACATGCATGTTTCGAGTGCTCAACTTTTTGCAGATTTTGGGAAAAATAACAAATCTTTGATTACATACTAAGTTACCTATAATATTAATTCGTATGAGTTGGCCGAAGTATACAAATTTTACATTTTTTATATTTTTATCCCGCYAAATTTACATAAACACTGTTAAGTACGTAATTGGCTTGAGACCTTCTCCTTCACACCCCTGTTGCACTTTGTTAATTTCTGTTTGCTCTGAAAAACAAATTGTTTCAGCTGAAACGTAAACATGTCAATGACCATAAACACGTCTGTTGGGGTTTGTAGACAACATGCACCATAATTCTTCTCCAACGTACACAATTTAAAGTGTGGGCAAAGCATTGCGGCTGTTTGAAGACGCTGCTGCCCCAAATGCCTCCGACCCGCTATTAATTGAACTGTACAAGAGTGTCTGTGGTTGCTTTCTTATTTTGTGGTCTGTTGGCTGAGAATACGCGGTTTCCCAATCAACAAGCGAGCATTTTGGCGCGCTTTTCGCAAAATCTTGTATTTGTTTATTCGGGCAGTGCGCATGTGCCACACATACACACACCTGATTCCAGCGCGCTGGAAAGTTCACTGCCGCACTCCGYTCACGTTGGCCGAGCATAGCTGCAGTGATTTTCTGTCGATTCACGCGAAGGATGCTAGCAACAGAACTGTTAGTGACAGCGCCTGTTAGGCAAGCAGAGCCGCMCAAATCTTGGYGAATGTTTGCAACAGTTCGGTTGAAACGCTGCTTTGGATCGGTCGTGGTTAGCGCGAAGAATCGTCCACCGTTTTCAGATTGTATGCCCATCAAAGGCAAGTAAAGAAACCAAAAACAAATTTTTAAATTCTTTTAAATGCCTGTGCCCATATGGCTGAGTGACTACGAAGTGTGAAAAGTGCTGATTTGTGCCGTGAGTTTTAATATTTCAGCTGAAAAAATATGTGTCAGCAGTGGTATATGTGCAGAAAAGGTGTTAAAGTGAGCTGTGAATGATTCGTTAATTAGCTTTGGATACGAAACGACAGCCGGAAACGGAAGCTCGAGTCCATGCGTTGAAAATACGCATGGGCTGAGCGGCTGAAAAGCTGCGAGGTGGAAGTGAAAAGTAAAAATCACAATTTGCATTCTTTGAAACCTTAAGTGAAAATACAAATAATCCGTTAGCCAGACGGRAGCAATTACCGGGTCTCAAACTTACGCGCCTAAGAGTTGGTAGGTGCATATCAGCGCTCGTCTCGCGTTGGCCGTCGGCCACCCGGGCAGCCGGCCAGCCGTGGGCCATTAGTKGCGCTGATGCCACTTTTATGTAATTTTTATGTGTTCTCTTAAGTGCATAATCGTCAACAACAATTACAACCATTGAACCTCGGTCAACACTTTTCCACTTGCAGTCCTCAGCGCGTGGGGAAGCGCCCAAGCATACTTTCGCCAGCAGTCCAGTAAGTGTATTGTGTTAGCATCTTCTATTTGTATTTGTTCAGTGCACTTAAATATTGCCATCGAACGACTCTCGGCAAGTGGGGTCTTACTCAGCAGTCTTGTCTTGTGGCCTGCGATGTTGAGAGCTGTTGGCTTTGATTATTGTTTCTCCTGTTCAAWTGAGCACCTCCTCAACTGTGTTCAACATTTCATAAGACAATGAGCAGCAGGTGCCGGCGTCCTTGCCACTTTTTGTCTGTTGCAAGTCGCCGTTGTGTTGGCCGCTACATTAATATTATATACTCTAGCCTTGGTTGGTGTTGCCCGGAGCTGTGTAAAGACGGTGCTTGTGATGATAATTAAATGCGAGCACATTTGCTGTCAAAAGTACTGTTAAAAATGTAAGTGCTACTAAGGAGAGAATCTGTAGTATCGTAATTAACGGACTCAACAAATTCATTTCTTTGAAAGGCTCTAAATTGTTAAGAATTATTTATGAGCAACATTAAAAAATATGAGATTGTCCGGTTTATGTCTTTTGGGCTTATTCTCTGGGAGTTTTTTCAGTTAAAAAACTAAAAAGAAATTATTACATAAATTGGTTCGGAACAAGTGTCCCATAAAATTAAACATCAGTAAAGGACCGAAATTAGGGCTTGCTAAATAATTGAACAGAGCACATTCTACAGAGCATTATTTTTAAGACCTCAAAGGGTTTCTGATTTATAAAAGTCAGCTTATTTCATAACTTATTGCACACCACTCACTTTTACTATATAAAGGGTGATCCATTTCGATATTATCTACTTTTTTAAAGAAATAACACAGAAAAAGTCGAAAGAACGCTCTTTAGCATTTATTTTTTGAAGATTATCTCTTTCAAATGTTCGCCGCGCCTACGTCTCAGATGGTTCATCCGTTGCGTCCTAGTTTCGATGACTCATTCGAGCATTTCAACTGGTAACTGGCGAATGACACTCGTGATGTTTTACTCCAACGCCTTAATCGAAGTGGGTTTATCCGAATAAAATTTAGACTTTACATACCCCCACAGAAAAAAGTCTAACGGTGAGATATCACATGACCTTAGATTTCTGGCAATAAATCCATTGATTGATGTGATGTGTGAGAAGTAGCTTGTCGYCTTGTTGAAACCAAATGTCGCCGACTTCACGAGTTTCAATKTCAGGTTCCAAATAGTCGGTTATCATGATAGCGGTCGGCTTTGACAGTTGCGTAAAAAATTTTAGTTCAAAACGGTTCGGCAAATCGGTTTAGAGTCTATTCACGTAACCTTTAATATGCTACAGACAGAAGACTTCGACGTTATGACTGTCAACAGTGAAGTGGGAGCCTAGTCGCGATTTCGTAATGCCCTTGTTCACCACCAGACCCATTTGCTTTTCCAAGGCTGTTGGTAATTTTTCATTGGGGTTTTTTTTACGTGACGGATGGTTCGCCATCTCACTTTAGCTCGCCTTCAAACTGATGTTCTTTGGCTACTCAGAGGATACTTGGTTTTACATATAATTGCAATGAACCTTCAGCTATTTGATTATATTCGGATACTTTGTATGAATAGTCACTGGTAAAGAGAGTAGGCGATAAGAATGTCACGTTGTATAGTTGTTGCTATTATAGTTAGTTTTTTACGCAAAAAAAGTGCCTTATTTCTGCGTCATCAGGTCAGCACATGTAATTTACCTTTCACTTATCCTCGGAGTTTGGATGCGTATTGAAACCAAATTTTTTCTTCTGCTCAAATGCTGTATGTGTGGATAGTGTGGATAGAGAAAAATCACTACCGATTGAATAGAAAGCATTAATCGAAGCTTATAAAGAATTACAGCTTTCAATAACTTAAAAATCWATAAGTCGTAGTATGGTCGAACTAGTAAATACGGTAACAATAGAGAGATTTTTGATGTTGAGAATAGAAAACACATTGAGGATAGCATTCTCATGAATCGACGGGCAAGTTTTGGGCAAATGCTGGTGTCACAGCCAGCTCATCTACTGTTGGGGTACGAAAGGTGATAAGGACAGCATCAGATGTGAAACCTAAACAACTACAGAAAATAAGTAAGGAAGGGCTAAGTTAGGGTGTAASCGAACATTTTATACTCTTGCAACTTTTAAAGGTCAAAGCTGGCGAAATACGTATGCATAGATTTTCGAACTGCTGGTTGACATCGAAACTGTGTGTGAGCTAACTTAACGTAAAGTACATTATGGTAATCGTCTGCACTGTTTCCAATACTACTCACAGCCTACGTATACTTAATTTAGCCACGCCGCCAATTTCCTACAGTTTGGTATACTTGCATTAGTCGTGTTTTACTTGACCGCCAAAAGCTATTAGCTAAATCGGTGACAAATAAAACGCACTTTGCTTATTTCATATTTTCGGGCATCAACAATCAGTTACAATATTTCCAAACAGAATATTTATTTTGTTAATTTGAGGTCTAAAATTCAAAAAACTGAAAACAAGTGTTCTTATTCCTCTTAATTTTATCTCAAAGCCCTTCTACGATTTTGGTTTGTTTATATTTTCATCTGTCAAAATGAGGCTTCYAGCTATTGCCAACTACGTTTTTTTGCCTTGCTTGTTTCTGCTTGAAGCTAGCCTTTAGCCAGGAAAAAGTATGTGACTTAAGGATGCAAGAGCAATTTTTTCTATCCTCTAGAAGAGCAAGTGGTTGAAGTGTGAATAAATAAATCGGCCTTAAATAAGTTACAACGAGCGCTCTTTAACTGGCTGGCCGAATCAGTCCAGCCATTGTATWGCTATCTGCAAGTTGAATGACATAAATCACTGTTTGGCGAGCGCGTTTATCCAATTTGGCATTCAATGTTGTAAAATTGAATTACTCTCGCAATCTCATCACAATTCAATTTTAAAATTATTCTAATTTGTATGCGCACAAAGAGACGTTTGTGTGCGGTTTTGACGTCGACAACGATCTCTATGGTGTGCACATTTAGCACAGATGTCGAGCATATTCACGAATGCGTTGAGCGGTTTGTTTTCAGACACCAAATCGATATGGAAACTGATGCGCCAAAAGGATGCTGAAATAACAATGTTTCAAATGCCGCATTGGATGCGCCCTCCAGCCATTGTTGGTGGAAWCAATAGCGCCGTTAGCCGCTTTCCCGGCATCACCTATGTTCTGCAGCTTGCTACACAGGCACTTTGCATCCCCATGAATATCTCCGCTTTACATATGTATGTATGAGGTGGTTATTCACACTTGCATGCAAATTGGGAAAATTAAATGCCAAATCTGGCATTTTGTGAGCAATGTCGGTGGCGTTTGCTGCAGCCTTTGCAGTGGTCTCGAGTTGCAAGCAACTGTTTGCACTGAATGCTGCCACATACCCAAAAATGTTTACAGTGACTGCAACAACGTTTCATTCTGAGTGCTTTAGACATTATGGCAAACTTCATATTCCATGTTCAGGGTATAAAAACATATACATATATACTCCGTATAAATACTTAAGCATTAAATAACTCGTTAATAGAAATGGGTGGTTTCTATCCATACCTACCCTAGCAGTATTATACTCGTATTCCTCATAAAGGTAATATTTCAGCTATATTTCCCTAGGGTTAACAGTCATGAGCCACTATTGGATGTAGTAATGACCCAACACTCAACACTCAACACTCAATTCTATGCAACTTTATAAAGTCTATGTATGCACGTATACGGTTACATATGTATGTGCGCAAATATRTTGTTTGTTGTTTTCAGACTCTATTGATTTTTACGCTCTTCATTGGCAGCCGTCAACGCAAACTTTTTGGTAAGCGGCATAGCGGCATTCATTTGAGTTGCGACCTTCATCTGCCAAAGCAAAGTAAAGCGTTGAAGTCAATATTTATATTTAATTTGAATAAAATTGGAACAATTCGTTTATCTTAAATGACGCTATAATGTCAGCTTGGATTCAATTACACAATTTTTTTGGATTGTTCGAACCACAATCAAAATATTGGGCGCTTTAATATTCAATTTGGAGGAATACTTTGGTGTATATTTGTGTTTTATTAAGGTCAACCACGAAGCTCTTTTTTTTTTGTATCATGTAAAACTTATCGAATTAGCTACAGAGTTATATATACATCCATTAATCTTAAACCTTTTAAACTAAGTGGGAAATTACGATTCTGTAACTTGGTAAAGCTAATCGCAGTAGACAAGAACGATTGTGATTTGAACGTTTTGGAAAAGTGGACGTAGCCCCTCGCACTGATAAGTATAATGCTCAAATGTCATAAACCACTAAAGCTATATCAACCAAATTTGCCCCAGACTCATCTTTTGGCCATCTCCTCCGACACTTTTGAAATGGGTAGAGCGGTTATGCTTTCTTAAAGTGCGATAACTCACTAAATGAAGTGAATTCGTCAGAAGGCATGAATTTCATATCCATATGAATACGGAAGTTCCTAATAACAACCGGAGTCAATATTGGACAATTATCTCAGGAATCACTTTACTAACATCAACTAAATTTGGTGCCCAATATTTCTTAGACATTATTATGGTATATTGCGAAAATCGTGTGTTCGATCAACAATTACGCTTACGTCCCATATTTATATATATCGTATAACAATTTTGAACTCCATAAAAMTCTTTCAGTTTACAGTATATAAATCGAGAGCTAATGTACGTAGTACAAATAAAGCTTTGTGCTAATAGTTTTCTTAAGTCAGTTAAGTTATGGCATCCACCAAATAAGAAGACCCCAGAACATATTGATTCTTTATTCA